AACAACAACAACAACAACAACCCGCTAAAAACATTTATTCTGAAAGGACACAGGCAAGGGAAAGTGCAGTATATAACTGTTAATTTATCTCATCAGCTAGTTCGATTTAAAACTACAACACTGCCTAAAACCTAATATTGAATGTGCCACAGATATAATATAATGTGTTGTATATTGTTGTACAGAAATTTTATTAATATCAATGTTGAACTCAAATTCTGTTTTTTCAGGCTTTTTTCATTGGGCCTGGTTTGACTCGTATCTACGACAGAGTAACAGAGCCACATAACAAGATTTTTTTTAATTATATTTACGACAATAAAGTCAATATGGTAAAGTCATAATATTATGAGTTTAAAGTCGTAATATTACGAGAGAAAAAAGTTATAATCTTACATGACGTACATTTTCCATTCATGTCCTTATTTCCTCACACCTGCTGTGTACAGCCAAGTGTGTTTATAAAGTAATGACTCGGGTCACTGTTAGATTAATATGATTTCATCCAAATGAGCTACGTGACGACTAACTGTCAATAAATCCAATAATTACAACACGGCTTCAGTTTACAGTCATTTGCACAATTTCCAAGTCCTGCTACTGATAATTTGATGCTGACTAACTAAAAGATTAACCGTTTATTTTAAGCAATACTAAAGGAACAACTTGACAAGTTGTTAAACATTCCTCATTTTAATGCAGTGATAACTGCATGCTTGTACATGTAAAGGGTATAGTATTACAACTTTAATTTTAGAACATTATCACTTTAATCTCATAATATTTACAACTTTATTCTCATATTATAATTTTAATGTTGTAATGTGACTTTACTCGTAATTTAAAAAGAAACTTGTGTGGCCCTGATACTCTGTCGTACATATCAGTGTCTTTTTATTCAGAGTAGCCTGTAAACAGTGGAGCTTATATTAAAGTAAAATTGTGTGTAATAGGATGCGTTAGGTATTTGTGCAGCACAAGTCCTCACAATTATATTAGTTCTTTGTTTTAACTTGGTGTATTTTTAAAATGCAGGTTGGTTTAATTACAAAGAAATTATTTTAAAGGTACTTCCTGCAAAGTGAGAAAGCAAACATAAAAKATTGTGATGAACTGAACAGCACTAAACTATCCAGCTTAAATTTCTGCATTATTTACAGAATATACTGGTTTGTAATTCTGAATGTGCTGGTAAACACCTGGTAGTTGGCATCCAGTCACAAATGTAGTTTTACAAATTTAATTTAAAGCCATCAATAGGAATAAAATATTGTTTGGATTAAAATTAGTTTTTTTTTTTTGTCGTCATAACNTGTATAAAATCTAGGCTACAGCATGTTTTTATAAACCCGGCCACTGCAGTGGCATCAGATCAGAAATACGACGACGTTTGAAGCTCAGAATCACAGAAAGCAGGGTTTGTGTTTCCACCTTCTGGCTTCTCTGTCAGAACGAGCGTTTCTGTTCCTTTCACGACCTGAGGAACAGCCAAACTAAACATCAGCCGCTGTGGAAACAGAGCAAAACTTACAAAGCTTCTGACAGATCTGAACAGGAGATAGAAAGTCGAATAAACATATTTAGGTTATTTTCATTTGCTCAATGCAAGCAGAATGTATAAGAAAAAAACCTCTTCACCTGTTAAAAGGCTGATTACACAGTGTGTAAAATAAGTATTGAACACGTCACCATTTTTCTCAGTAAATATATTACTAGAGG